ATGACCTCGTCGTCGATGATCTCAATGACCTCGTCGTCGATGATCTCAATGATCTCGTCGACGATCACAAAGACATTTCGGCCGCCGGACTGTCGCTCGACAAGCACTTCGAACGTCTGGTAAGACAGTTAGTCAGAATGCTAAACCGGTCAACGGTACACGCACCTCCATGTCCTCGTCGTCGCTGACCACAATGACGTCGTGGTCGGCGGCATTTTGATGAGTGGGCAGTGTTAAGGACGTCGCCTAGTAATACAGTTAGTGAGAACGCCAGAACAATCGACGGTACACGCACCTCCATGTCCTCGTCGTCGCTGACCACAATGACTTCGTGGTCGGCGGTATCTTGATGGGTGGGCAGTGTCGACGTCGCCTAGTAATACAGTTAGTGAGAACGCTAGAACGATCGACGGTACACGCACGCCCGATTCCTCGTCCTCGTCCATATCCTTGGGGCTATCGGCTAGCGCACTACTGCATACGCGTTTACGTTTTTGTTTATGTGAGAAGACCGCCTAGTAATCAAAATCAGTACCCATCCGGGACAAGGCAATTACTACGCACGAGCTTCTCGGAGTCTTCACGCGTTGGGCTCCTCGCGCGTGCCCGCTTGCGTCCTTTGCCTCGGGATCCCGAAGGTCCGGCCTAAGAACACAAATAAGTACACATTCATGATAAGCAAAGGTGTACGCACCGGAATAAACTTGGCTTGGCCGATTTCAGTCGCCTCGAGGGCTGGACGCGTCAAGCTCTCGGCGCGTGCCTGCTTGCGTCCTTTGCCTCGGGATCCCGAAGGTCCGGCCTAGGAACACAAGTAAGTACACATTCATAATAAGCAAAGGTATACGCACCGGAATAAACCTGGCTTTGCCAATTTCAGTCGCCTCCTCGAGGGCTGGACGCGTCAAGCTCTCGGCGCGTGGCCGGCCGCGTCCTTTGCCTCGCGATGCCGAGGATCCGGCCTAGGAACACAAATAAGTACACATCAATGATGAGCAAAGGTATACGCACAGTATCTGCCGGGTTTGGGCTGGTAGCAGCCTCCTTCTCGGGTTCTGGCGCCAAAGAGTCGCGAGAGCGCGAGCGCGCGCGAAGAGAGCGCTTTCCCAACACAGCTGCAGAAGGCGAGTCTGGCACTGGGCGGTTACAAATCTTTGCTTTTACTCCTTCTCCAGCTATCCAAATTCGTCAGATCCTATCGTCTTTTCCCGGTAGTGCGGATGAGCTCACCAATGACTTTCCACGAGGGGTTTCGGACGCGCTTTGGTCTTTCTAGTACCGATGAGTCCATATTGCTGAAGTCTTTGGCCTTCAAGGTGTCAACAGAAATCGAATTCAGAGCCTGAGTGAAGCTTGCTTGTCCGACGATGCGGGATGGTGGAAAGCAAGATGAAAGCGAGAGTCAGGAAATCGCGCGCCGATCGGGCCCAATAACCACACTTCACTGATGGCGCGTTGACGCGTTGACGTGTTGACGTCTCGCGTGGTTGTATAGCAGGCCAGGCCAGACTCACGCTCTCCCCGACTCCGGTCTTTTTGGTATACTCTCAGAACTTGCTTGCTACGTCTGATGAACATACATAGAGCTATGGCGGAAAGATCGCGCACTCGATGTGCCTTGCGGCACCTAGTCCCAGACCCGCATCACACACTACTAGGCCTTCCACACCAAGCGATTGCGCACACAACCAGTATCAGACCGTGTACGCGTCGAAGTCGCGTTGCATCACAATCGTGGGGCGCGTGTGAAGACGACATGCGTTGCGCGTTCTAGGCGCTGGGCGCTGCTTAAAGACGACTGGCCTGTAGCTATCGCTCCTAATGTTACTGTGCGTTGACTTCTTAAAGTATCACGGATTCCGCTAATGTACTCTTGCACAGCCTAATTGAGACATCATTCCCGTCTTTGGCGCCATAACGCCAGGACCACATGGCGCGCACTAGTCCAGATGCGTTTCGGCAACGCCCGTGATTCCTGTGGCTTGCACAAACAAAAGTCGGACGTGCAAGAGTTCTCGAAGCACTACGCAAAACACAAATTGTTTCGGCCAGACACATGAATTGGCCGTGTTCTGTGCAAGATTTACACGCAGACGACATTATATCTAACAGAAGCCACGGCACGACGAGGTGTGACTGCATGACACAGAACGATCTTCGGTCATTTTGCTACGTGCCCAGCACCGCACGCACTCGCATGTCTTTGTGGACCATCATGCGCACTAGCTAATTACTCGCGACTATGTTGGCTCGTCGGTCTGACAGCACCTGAATTCGGCCGGGACCGGTTACCCACGGTCATAAAGCCTCGGTGCCAGCTGGCCGAGGCCGCGCTTTCTTGAAGCGACCACCACTACACGCGGTGAAAGTCGGTGGTATGAACCCAGCCTCCGACATCGACGACAACCATACGGCCGTGCTCGATCTAGAGCTAGTCTATAAATGCACCCTTGAGCGCTACGAATGGAACAAGGAGGACGGAGATGAATGTGTTGCAGCTCTCCAACATATTGCCAGCGTGGACTCGGAGGGTCATTCAGCTCAGCTGCAGAGAGCAATTTCCCTGATGAAACAGTTCATCCCCAATCTTCGTGACGAGGCAGTGGGCCCATCGTTCTCAGAGTACCCCGGTCTTTTGGAAATGACAAACATGATCGATAGTGGAATCAGATCATTGGCCGCTTTAGCTGCTACTGGCGAGCTTTGGGTGAGTTCAGCTGTGTTTTCTTTGCATACATATCCTGAGCAGCACCGCAGTCAATCAAGTCTTGCCTGCGATCCGCCTACGTTTTATATTCTCTATATTCGCATCGTCAACGCGCAATGTATTCCGACGCGGCGATGGGATATCTGGGTCAATATGTCTCCGTGGCTGAGATAGAAACCGTTCTGGCGGACAAGTCCCGGCTAGCATATCAGGGGTCGCACATCGCTCGGAATCTCGGCGTCGTGGACAGCATCGTGGAGGGCCTTTGCCGCAGCATGTGCAGAGGACAATTGGCTCCAGATGTAATAGCCGACGCGAGCCTCTTGTGTGTCAAGCTATGCGTGTCTCATATCAATGCGCTAAGGTGAGCTTCCTTTCTCACCGATGAGCACAGATGACCGACGGGGCAGTAGAACATCTGGAAACGACGACGAATGCTCATTCTTCTCGGCAATGCGCCGCGATAGGTCGTGGCAGTCGTACACACTTGTACTCCTGGGCATCCCATGGCCTGATTTTGATTACACCGTCGAAGCTCAACGTGAGATCATCAGAGCTGCAGAGCTGCAGACACGACCTCGAGATGGCATCAACATTCAGCAGGGTGTCATCCGTCACTTGTTCGGTAGGAGACACGTTTCCCTGTCAGAGTACGCGCGTACACATCACCTCGTACGGTTCGCAATTCGCAATCCGTATGTAACATGGACGAGCACAAGAACCCAATGTCTGTGGTGTGGCAGAGATAATGCTGTCAAGCGGTGTACTCACTGTAGAGTCGCGCTGTATTGCAATGGGACCTGCCAGATATCGTCAGTCACTCACTCTACGTTTGTTCGTCTTTGACTCCTAACTGATTCATATGTGACAGTGACTGGCGTCGGACGCATAGATCTGCATGCTCCATCTACGTTTTAGAGACTCGCTTTGCACTGCCGAAACTCCCTACGACGTAGCCAAAAGCAGTAGATGCGGTAGTGAAGGTTGATATGCGCACTGTGGTAGGCTGCATCCCCTCAAGATTTGGGAATGTTGCTCACCGGTTCTGATTACACTCGAATTATTCACACAATTCATCGTCATGTGAAAAGGTGTGAACTGTCACTAGCAAGTGACAACATGTCAATTTGACTTTCAATCAATCGACAGCGTAAAACGTCGTTTAAGCAGTCCTGACTGTATGCAAGACCATCTACTGTAAGAACAGCTCGCGGCTTGCAGCAATGTCGCAAAACTATGTTTTCGGGGATCAGTACTGATCACGGCTGATGACGCCTGACGAATATTATCAGAGGGTGGAGTTGGCGGCCCATGTGGTTGTCGCACGATGACGACTTCGCGGTGATGCCTTGTATCAGATGGTCGTCAGCCGGTCATCAGGCAGTCGTCAGCTGGTCATCAACGAGTCGTCAGAGCGCCGCTAGGGACTCGCTAGGGTCAAGACAGAGCATATTCACTATCTAGTCACTACCGGGACCAAGCCAGATCATAGCGTACTTGCTGCCCTCATACAGATAAGGTATATCAAAATTCTACATTTCTACACTCGTGCACATGGCGGCCAGCGTGCGAGCTCGCGCGCGCGCGTTTCTTCTTCTTCCTATCATCGTAGCCGGCCTTGCCTTTAGTCACTTCCTTTTCTGCACACCTTGCGTCCCGAGTTTAGGAGATCAGGCTCAATTGGCCAACATGGGGGTATGATTAGAAGCGGGTTCGCTACCGGGACAATTGACGGCTGGTACGTCGCTCATTTCTACTGCTTGCTCGTCCCAGCACTGAACGACAAGTCTCAGGACTCACCGCGGTACCACCTTCCCACCGGGTTGTCATCGTTCACTTCCTCTCGCGATTCCGTAGTTCTCGCATAGCCTATGTTCATCCAGCGTAGCATTCACAAATACATAACTCTTTTCATGTGTCTGGCGAAATACGTGGGGCCCTTTATGCCCGATGCCAGAGCAACTATCACAAGGAACTCTGCCCTATATGGCCCGGCACAGCGTATAGTGGCTTCCTGGCTCGCTGTACTTTTACACTGGCCCAGCACGTGGCTCTCTTGATATGATTGCCCGAAAGAATGTGGAGCACTCCGTGGTGGGGCACTACACGCTCGGTGATTAGAGGGTTCTTGGCGTCTGACGACCAACTGACGACCAACTGGCCACTGCCTTATCTCCGAATGGCGAGTGCTGGCGACGAAATTCTGGTTGTCACCCATTTTCACCGGTGACTACCGTGAACTACTTTTTGCGACATGTCAAATGCGATTGATTTGGGTCACCGTACTCGCCATGACGCAAAATATTTGACCGATCCTCCAAAAGTCCGCCTCTGTGTCTATGCTAAGGCCACACATGTCCTGGAATTGCATAGCCCGTGTATGGATCGCCAAGATCCTCCCATCTGCGAGTACCCGATGTCAGGCGAAGCTGTGTCTGAGGGTCGGGCAGCAGCGACGGGAAAATGTTGTCGCACGTAAAGGGCTGCATGTAAATACCTTTGTGACAACACTGACCCGTTTAAATACGTTCTGCGGTACACAGAGTTGAGCTGGACTGACGTGCGGTGCGACACATGTATCTTGAGACTCGGGGCAGCACACAGGCTGAGCGGCAGGACAACATGACCGAAAGGGCATCAATCGACGACTCATACAAAATGCATAACTTTGCAAGCTCATACTGTTGAGCCATACAACCCCATATTGGCCGAGAGCTCGTACAGCACTACTCGCATTCCCTGCGTCACCGACTTGCATGGTCCTGGTCCCTTCCAGAGGAAAGCTACAAAAGGTCTATTCCACATAGTATGCGGGTGTAGAACCTGATTCATTCGCACGTAGAAGGTGCATGTCTCGTCGTACCTCGGTCTTGCTAAGCTCTCGCATGCGCTCTTAGTTCTCTATGTATGAGACGTCGTCAGCTGCTGTTCACTCTTTCAGACTATCACGGAGACCGTGTGAGCCACAGATACTCATGAAAGCACCTGTCCGAGGAACGAATGTATCGGCTGTGACAATTTGATTCTCTTGAAAGCACGGACAGAATAAAACGTTCGGTTGATCAATTTGGTAGCAAACCTGTGTCAAATCAGAGCCGCCGCTCATGTTCAACAGTCGAAAGCGCCAGTTCACCATTGACGGTTTCAGAATCATCCCCTTTTTCAACATTCTCAGACGTATTTCAATCTATATGCTCGCGCATCAGTCGCCGATCTTGCACGCGAGAAGACTGACGTTTTCAAGATCCTGGCAGTCATCGCCATGTTGTTTTGTACCCATTGTTAAACCTTATACGATCCACAGCAAGGCGATTGTGACGAAGCACATAAAGTACCCAGACGCCCCATCCAAATACCACAGAGGATATTGCGTTTCATGCACCCGGTCGACGTTCAACGTCTATCGCGTACCCTGTAAACAATTATTCTGCTTTATGTATAGAAGACTGATAAGTTGACCGAGAGATAAGAAGACAAGTACGTTCGTATTGCAACAAAATGAATGAAGGGAGGAAAGACACGTGCAGTAGGCGATTGAAAAGCGATTAATCGCTCACTTGTTTGTGCGAAGATATCGGTACATAACGACCGATCCGACGTTCAAAATACCCACACTATGACTGACAACGGATCTATCGAACATCAACTTTACACACGTCTTGGTCAGATTCCCTAGGGCAGCCAGTCTCGAAATATATCATTGAAATATAGACGACAAGCATCCGATATCCCGTCCGTGCTCCCTGGCATGTGGCCTCGCGATTGTGGTGTCGAGTTCAACAGCGCGTCATGCCCAGAAATGACGCGCTACAGCACGTGCTGAGTTCTTTGGCGGCATCGCTATATGTCATGTGGCGGCGAGTGTTACAAAACACCTGAACGGCTCGTCGCCAGGTTTGTGAAGTCCCTCGTGTTCGTGTTCGTGTGCAGAACACCGGTGACAGTCGACTGTCCGTCTCCAGAGATACGGTGGGTCGCCAGAAGGCCGTTCACTATACTCTGGGAACGCAGGATTCAAGAAGTAAATAATCACACTTACTCAAATGTTAGTGCTCATCCTTACCAACTTGAGTCTACGTTTGAATAGCACTGCATTCCGCTACCGCAAGCACTCTGAATGAAGCTCCTACAAGAAAGCGAGGCGAGAATCGCATTCATAATCTGCACACGCATGTACTGAACTACAAAAACATCATTCACCAGGTGTCAGCTCCAGCGCACCTATAGCACATTGCGTCGTTATAGAGACTTGCGCCACACGCATGAAGTTTCAACATCGAGGTCTTTACATCAGAGTATACATTTATCATGCTAATGTAGAGCTGCGCGTCCGGACATCGGTAGGTATGGAAGCATTGATTGCTCGCTTTGTCACCACCCACCGATGGTTACAAAGAATAGTAGCACGTCGAAAGCTCTTCCCACGCCTCATGCCACCGGAGCGCGGTGCCTTGCCGAAAGAAGGTAGCTATCATCTTTGTGCGACGTGTCTTTACGAACCATGAGAGTAGCGACAGCAGGAAGGACTAAGAAGATGCACAGCAAGATCACGATCAGCCCGATCATTCCCATGATGACGATGAAGATATATCCGCCAATAGTCAAGTGATATATTGCAGGGGCATCGACGACTGGGATTGCGGAGCCTATCGTGACATTCAAGCAAGCAAGGAGAGTTTGATCTACATCCGCCGGCAGTGGAAGCGCCACGGAAGTTGGAGTGGTGCTCAACGACCCAGTATTGTTGTATCCGTCCAGCGTCAAGGCTGAGGAGCTAGCGCGATAGTATTGCACGGAATTGACCGCGTTTGGTCCAGTCAAGTTCTTTCCGGTATAGGCAAAGGGGACCGAGGAAGACGTCTCGTTATCCAAATTGCCGTGATGGGAGCAGTTTGCCCTTATGATGGGCAAGATCGCGTACACTGTACTGTTATCGGCGAGGAAGTGCAAGGTGGTATTTGTCGCGTTGGATCGTAATGTGGCTTGCATGAGCACGCCACCTGGACGCAAGCTGTTCGAGGGCAGTCCGTACTCTCTGGTTGCATTTAGGTATGGCGGATATGACTCTGCAGCGGGAGTCTCCCAGACCAGAGGGTAGTAGTAGTAGGGGAACGGCTGGCCTGCAACACCGTTGCTTCCAAGTGGGCGGTTGGGGTAGCCACTGCCGTATACGCTGAACGAGGCGTGAAAAAAGAGCCGCAGTCATCATCGAGGTTAAGTACCTAGTTCCGTATATCCCTGCTCGCGAGCCACCGCCAAAAGTGCGCCCCTTAAATGTACCGCTGGTAACGTGTGATATCTTTCCACCGCCGCTGCTGTATGTGGTGGCAGTCGCGTGACCGCCGAAGAGATGAGGTGTAGAGATACTCTTGCTTAAGGGGCCTGTGCGTCCTTCAGTATTCAGCTCGTAGGTGAGCTATCTGGGCACACATACTGTGGGTACTGCTACTCGTCGACCTGCCCAGGCCTCCTCCGTCGTGGCCTTTTGCTTTGGACCCGCTACCTCTGCCGCCTCCGCCACCTCTCCTGGGTAGCAAATCAGAAGTTGCGCTAATTGAGCCTATCATCATACAGGAGGGCCTGTTGAAAGGTGTGATGGAGGTTAATTGGCAAGAGCGTCAGGCTCTTATACAATATTGGGTGCACAGCCGCAGCCGCGCATGGGAAACTCCAACGCTTCCTGCACCGCCCCGATATTGAGCCCGATTGGACATCTTCAAAAATGACAAATGACGGCAGAGATACTTGCCTATCTTCCACGAGGGAACTTTACTCACTGAATGTCGGAGAACAAAAATGATGTGTTCATGACTAACGTTCACCCGTTGAGAACTCTTCCTGTACTATTGCAAGTGCTTGTGGAGATAAACATCATATGGTGCTTCTGAGTCAATGAAGGATTATTGGGCGAGATATTCTTGGCTTGAATAGCTTGTTATCGCACCGTCTTAGGCTTTAAGAATCCTTTCTTGTTGATACGAGCGGGGTGACGAAACTCACTTATTCGTTGTAGGAAAAGGGCCCCAACATGTAAGCTTTGCGCGGAGTCTGACGTAAAATCATTTAAAGAACGCGAGCCGGAAGCCAGGTCGCTGGGCAGTGAGTGATTAAACATCAAAGTGAAAGTGAGAGACAGAAGCAAAGCCGATGAAATTTATAAACACTCAGGTCTAGCAGAGTGGTTGCAGGCGGTATGGATTTAAACAATCAGATGAAGGCTGCGCATGATAGGGACTGATGTGGTTGTATGCGCGAAGGTACGGCATTAAAACCCCATTATTGCTCTTATCCAAGACTCGGAATTTACTTCCTCCCAAAATACAGTAAGATACCTTTTCCAGTCATCCAGCGTAGCGGCTAAGAGGGTAGAAAATACCGCTCCCGAGCAGGTAACCCGTTCAAAGTCCACAAGCTTCGATGCGGCTCTGCCCACGGAGGATGGCAAACCCGCTCCGCCTGCTATCCGCGCACTCGGTGACGCGCGCTACGCTCGCAAGTGTAACCTCGTCACCGGCGAAGAGCGTCGCGAGGTCACCGGCGCCAACCTCTTCGCGTGCACGGTGGACATGTGCGACATGAGGACACTCCGGGACATCGCCATCGTCGACGAGATACAGATGATCGCCGATCGCGATCGTGGCGCTGCATGGACATCCGCCGTGCTCGGTGTGCCCGCGCGCGAGGTCCGCGGGCTCCACCTTTGGGGTGAAGAGGCCTCGGTGCCGGTGGTCCAGGGGCTGATGCGGGAGACTGGCGATGAGCTCGTCGTCAATCGATACGAATGGGCGAGCCCTCTACGCGTTGCAGATGAAGTGTTGGGAGACCTGTCCAAAGTCCAGAAAGGCGACTGCGCCGTCGCGTTCAGCCGGTCGCACATCTTTGCGGCCAAACAGGAGATCGAGTACCGCACCAAGCTTCGATGTGCGGTTGCGTACGGACGGCAGCCGTCCGAGGTCCGCAGCGAGCAGGCCGCGCTGTTCAACGATTCCAACTCGGGCTTCGATGTGCTCGTTGGGTTAGGTTATACTCTTTGGAACGGTGGTTGTGTCAAGCAGACACCCATCTTAGACGAATACGAGTCTTCTGTCTGGTTTCCGGTCTTTGTGCATATCCATGATAATGCACAGGAGGGTGAAGATCTCGCAGCACCATCTTCTAGTCTTGAATACAAATCCTCCTCCTGTCTCCTCTCCCTTTATCGCGTTCATCTCTGTCTAATCTCCTACCTCCCCGGGACCTCATATTCAACACTGGCACGCGTGCGTAGCAATAGCATGAAGTGAAGATAAACATGGTGAACAAAGCGTAAAGAAATGAGTGAATATGGTAAGGACTGGTGGGATTCTGACGGTAAGTAGCTGTGAACGTGGCTATGAACTGGTAGCGGAACGCCTCGAGGCAGCCTCTGGAGTTGCCGCCGGAGCTTACGCTCGGATACACCCTATCAAACAACAACATGAGCCTCGATGGCGTGAGCGTTACAGGCTACAAGAGGCATACCCGTTACATAGAAGCAGGGGGCATGAGAAGATGATGGCAACAACACGGGTCGCCTCCGGGCACACCCTCGCCGGAGTTAATATGCAGTGATTCCCCCGGAACCGCTGTATCGTTCAAAAATTCTTGCAGCCTATCCATCTGGTGAAGAGTTCTGACATCACTGAGGCTGGGAAGGCGGCTGACAGCCGTCTGCCATAGATGATGGATCTCATCTGCATAATCCGCATGATAGGTGTAAAACCATGGCAAGGTAACGGTCATGCAGTTCAGAGAGGCAGAAAGCGGCTGCCACCCCATTATGGATGTGCAGACGTCAGCTAGTGCTCGAGGTGGAACGTCGGTGCTGGGTTGAGGGGTGGCTGTAACTGTGAAGCGAAAGTCTCGAGACCAGTCGTGCGATTGTGAGTGCGGACTAGACCAATGCATGAGAACGCCAGATCCGAAATTGGCGTCGTGAAGCGATAAGTGCGTGAACCCTCTATCGGCTGGTTCGGTGCGAAGGAGCTGTCTTCCGACAGTATTGCGAAGTTTTTCTTTGAGAGATGCGATGTCGGTAGTTTGCCAATGCAGAGCGGCCTCAAGCTCAAAATCGCAGTCACGGGGGACATCGACGGAGATCATCATGTAGCAAATTGTGTTCATGGGCGCACGTAGTTCGAGCTTTCTCAAGCGTGCAAGCCTTACGACTCTTGGAGAGTCGCCATCCCAGGTCGTTGGTCTAGGGTGTGCGTGGCGACCGTCTCGGTCCATAAGCCACGTGAAGACTTCGAGACCGGGTATGCGAGCGAGTATGTCGATTACACAGGACGCAGAGCCCGTGGGGCTGAAGTCAACGCGCTCGCGAATCATGCAGTCTTCCAGACGAAGCTCTGATAATGAGAGCCCCGACATCAAGTCTGGGGTCACCGGTAATTTTGTCAGGGAGAGAATGTGCAGGTTAGGGAAGTGTTTAGCAAATGTGCCGTGCAGGGGTATGGCTCTTGGAATGTATGCCTTGTCGTGGCATACGGAAAGCTCGGTGAGTGAGGGGAAGACTTTGTCGAACATCAGGGGGGTGTCCATCGCAGTTCTTTCATCGAGTCTGATAATCAGACGGGAGATGCGACCACTCTGGGTGTCATCCAATAAAGCCATGGTGATCAGGGCCAGAAAGCGAGCAACGGATGAGCAAGGTAAGATGTATACTTCCAGCTTCAAGTCCTTAGAGCGCTGTAAGGCCACGTAGATCATCTTGGAGTTGAAGTGGCCCGTGACGAGAGTAGACCACAGATCCGCGGTATCCAGGACCAACCCTCGCCAGCGCGCATTGACATGCGACAAGGAGGTAGCCTGATGATAACGATTGGAGTGTTTGCCTGGTTCACCAGTACACCCAATCACAGCGTCCCTGACCCACGAATCGACTGCGAAACGGAATATCGCTTGATAGATCTCGTCGGAGAGAGACATGGGCTGCAAAACAGGTCCCGTGTGAGACTTGACCGGGGTAATCAATGCAGGAAAATTGTGACGGCGCGCACCAGTGAGAGCCTTGTGACAGGCTTGCAATTAATGGACATGAACACTGAGAGGACGGATGAACGTGGCTGATCTGGCCGCGAGTTGCTTGTTGATATATGAATATGACGATTAATGGGTAGATGGAGTGCTCGAGAAAGTAGGCTCGTTATTGACTTCCGCCCAGCCAAAGCGGATGATGTCACTCACTCTCACGCCTGCTTCCTTCTCGCACGATCGTCCTTTCTCTCCTACCACGACGACACCTTGTCCTGCCTCGCCTTTTCATGCTATCACTACGTATAGGCCCCTCGCTTTACTACTTCCCTCAACTCACAGAATGATACAATATTTTAATCGGTCTCTGTCGCGATGGAGTGTAACCCCGTGCATGACTGTCTTCGAACACCGACGGCGACTGTATCCCAAGCCTCAAGTGTGACTCCAGTGAATTCTTGCATGCGGTGTCGTGTATACTAATTGATTCCGGTCAGCATGGTTTGCCAGGATGTAGTCATTTGTATATCGGTTGCGATCGCGGCCTACCAAACTATGCTCGCCCACGGGTTGAATCTCCTACCGACCGTGGAGCCCATGTCCTCACTCATATAGTCTGAGGCCTGTACTCCATGTCTTATGCTAAAGCGGGCCGGAAAAGGTTGAAGACGGCTCGGAATATTCTGTTTAGCTTTCAGATCATGTAAAGCAGGTTTCGGGTTCCTTGACTTCACCTCTTCACATCTGCTGATCTGCCGATCGCTACTCAGGTCGCTTTTCAACGGTATTGGCTATCATATATGACGCTATCGATACCCGAGGAAATCACCTCCTGCAGAGCAATCACTCGGTATCTCGCACAGACTATCCCCGCATCCTTGCACTCGCAAGCATCGATATTCTACTCACTTTGCCTATGGGCACAGTGACTCTAGCCTTGGCCGTGAAAATTTATGTCTCTATGGGCATCCTCCCTTTTCACTCCCACTGGGCCGTGGGCTAGCAGCCTGAGGGCATTACATATGCAGCACAGAGCGTCCGCCGGGATCTTGAATGTCGCATCTATCTACGTCCAACATTGGACATCGCCCGTCCTCACATTCTCTATCTTCGGTGTCTTCGGCGTCAGATCAGAAGCCCGCGCATCGCACTGGCGCATCATCTGCACCGTCTGCGGCTGGTCCGGCTGGAGGCCAACTCTTCGCACGAGCAGGGCACATTCGTCGTTGGGGGAGCGTCCCGCTCAGAACACCATGTCGCTGATTCTTGAGTACACGAGCTCCTGCATCCACAGGGACAAAACTGATGAAGATCAGCTAGGTCGAATCCAAGCTACGTCAACCCACGGCGCCCACGCGGGAGATCAGCCCGAGGGTGAAGGCGGCAGTGCGAGCGAGGCAGAGGGCGGCTTGTCGGACAAGGACGCGATAGAGAGACTAAGAGGAAGTACGCCGGAGTACTGCCGAAGAGACATGAGCAGTCATCCCGCATCTTTTGTACCGGTGTCGCTGACGCATTGAGCAGCTGACACCACCTCGCTCTTGTAGCTCCTCGCATTCTCTCGCAACAGCCTTGCGATCGCGCGTAAGGTTGAGCAGCGATCTGGTACGGTAAACGGCTTGTGATGCGCGAGCGGGGGCCTTACCATACTTCACAGACCAGCTGCATGCCGAACGCGCGGCCGGCGAGCGGTCACGGCTGAGCGGGCGAGCTCGTGGAAGCTCGTTAGGAGAGCAACTCCGGCGTGACGTCTATCACTATTTACCGTGAATCTTATAGTCCAATATTGACCAGAGCTACCCGAGAATTTTCAAATTCCATTGCTCCCTATATTGGTCACTTGGCACAGGTGTGTCAGCTTTTCGCAGTTGCAGGCACCGGTACAGAGATGTAGCCAGGCATATCTCGAAGGTATTGGACGATCAATGCCGCCCACAGCGAGGTAACTGGGCCAGAACACGCTCCAGCACTTGGAGGCACTGCCCAGGCCGCTCAGTGAGAGCCTGAAGAGGAGGTGCCGAAGAGGAGGTGCCGATATGGTGGGCACAATATGCTGCTTCGGAATTGTCTGTAGAGCTGTGCAACGTGCTCAAGGGCTTGTCGCCCGTACCATCCTTAATCTTCTAGCTCATTTAGCACCCACACCCACTGCAACGCAAACAAGACGACAAGCGAAGCTCTCCCTCATGCTTCTCCACTTTGAATCAATCAGAACCTTGCCTTGGCAGATGAGTACCGGAACCCCGCCTTGCGTTTCCGGCGTTCCAGCCGCCAGGTCAGTCATTGGCATGTCCCGGGCAATGGCGATATACAGGCTTTTGGTACGTGGATTTGTACCTTCCGTGTATGTACTCACAGTCTATTGGGCTCGTCGCGTGTCCCGTCTCACAATCTCTTTACCCTTTGTTTGACTGCGATAACTTGCCACTGTGAATCCGCGCGCAACGCACGGCGTGCGCTTCCACTGTTGAAGATCGAAGATCGGACACCTGAAGAACATGCGTATTATTGTGAGTAGGGCCGGGCCTGTCGAGGACCGCATTTGCTAACCCCAGGATTGAATGCAAGTCTCTCCCTGCCCAGATATGGCTCCGACGAGCTCAAGTTTAGCGCTCGACTTCTTTCCAACCGCGATCGCGCCTGCATCCTGTGGCTTGCGAGTCTCTGTGCTCTCTTGCTGATGCATCGTTCTTTTACCAGATAATGTATTCTCAAGGCCACAAGTAGAATCAGACGCACGTAGTCGTCCCCGCTCTTAGGTGGGAATAGATCTCAGGTCGGGCTTTCCCTCATCGTGCGCAATGAGTCTTTTGCCAACTTCACCGAATGCGATGCGTGTCTGACTGCAGGAGAAGTTGTCGATCTTCGAGAATGAGTAGAGCAAAATAGCGAGCGATATGATGGGAATGACCAGGAAGTAGAATATCATCCATTTGATCGTGTCCCATTTGCGCCGGGTTACGACCACCAGCGCTTGGAGACCGTAGACTGCGACAATGAGCACGACAGATATCGTCTAGAACTGGTTGACTGAGGCTGAGAGATTGATCGTGTATGCAATCTGAAGGGCAAGAAAGTTAGTGGAGCCGCCAGCCGTAGAAGAACAACGTAAGCACGCGCATATCCGAGAGAGGCTGGGTACTAAATGATCGTCGACACCAGATCGATTGTGACAACGAAGCGCATCGAGATGCAACAGAAACCACACTGCTTGTCTGGCAAGACGAGCTCTGCAAGATTGTGTACTGTCAGGTAGATCTAACGATACCTTTGGGAGAGCGAGGCCTTCCAGTGGTCTGAAGCGACACACAGTGTACGCGTGCGCTTGTCCCGAGGTACTGATATTGACCGAGATGCAGCGAGTTCTTTCACGTGCACTGTGCCCACACGGTTCTCTGCATAGTCACCATAGAGCTGGGTAAAGGCGGACACGGGCTTGGGCGTGCTGGGCTTGCGGAGACGATAGAGTGTGAAACAACTGGGTGAGCGAGTGACGGATCCGAACGGCGACTCGAAGGCTTTTGGCGAGATGGTGAGAGGTGAAGTACTCGTAGACCTGCATCGTCGTCGTGATGGACTGCTTCGCGCTCACCAGCAGCACCTCGCCGTAGACACCAATGACGCGCTCACCGTGGATCAGCTTGGAGAACGCGTTGTGGCTGGGTTGTCGGAGCGCAGGTAACGTGTTCTGGTCGGTCTTGAAGGACGAGTAAACGTGTAGCCGTACTGTATATACTATACAATGACGTAAGTGCGAAAGCTGTACGGTTAGAGCGTACCGTGTGAGCCACTCGAAGAGCTAGGCTGCGAAAGCGATCCTGTGAGAGAGTAAAAGGCCGAGGAAGCCGGGTGAGAAATTCCGCGTCAAAGACGAGGGTCGCGCGGCGGTGCGAAGCAGGAGGTTAGTGTGAGTTGCTCGAGGGCAAAGACGTCAGCGAGCTCGTCGGAGCGCTTGAGGGTTGGACTCGGGCAATGTGAGGAGGGAAAAAGAAGCCAAGACTCTCATTTCGGGGCTACGACATTTAAGAGGCCGGGAAAGCTCGCCTGCCCTCCTGGCAGCGCCGAGCGGTAAAGTACGGAACACATGGAGAAAGTCTCAAGAAACGCGCACGAGAAAGACACCGTATGGAAATCCAGGGGCGTGTGGGCTGCCTCGCGACGCCGGGAGCCTCATCTCGCTGGAGACCGTCTCGTTCCAGCTCTTCTCGATTCATCCTCGTGCTCTGGCCGCACAGAGCGTGCATAGGGTCGCCAGGTCCAAGCACGGCTACGAGGAGGGGGAAGTGCATGGAGGACAGCGAGGGGTGAGGGGCCGGATAGTGCGTCCGAGATGGGGGGAGCGAGTCGGGTAAAGTGAGTATAGTAGGTAGAGTGTCAAGACCATGTCGTACGAGTGGTGAGCGGACCGAAAGAGCCCGAGCCGTTATTCTTCCACCGTTGGCGCGGTTGTTGCAGGCGCGAGCGCGGGCGGCCGATCTTGAAGGCACGCCTCGAGGCGCTTCGGTGCCGAGGTGAGGGTAAAGAGGCGCGGATGCGCGGCGCTAAGGCCTGGCGAGGAAGTCGTGGGGAACAGCGTGGTAAGCGTAGAAGCAGAAAGTCTGTAAATGTCATGAATGAACGGGGTGGTGGTTGAGAGAGGAGGAAGACGCCAATACGCGCGCAGAGGACTTGCGGCGTGTGGCGGCGGGGGCCCTCGCACGCTACCGTGGCCGCGCTAATCTGGCAGTGTCCACGAGTACGCTCGTGGACACTTCCACAGCGTCAGCTGAGTACGTGCATCATATCACGAAGAGAGACGTACGCGCAGATTAGCCGGGAGGGCGACAAGGGCGCGCCAGTCGTATGGGCATATACTGTGAAGATATACTCATAGAGCGTCGGGTCAACACCACCGGGTGTCGTTGATCTGGAGATACATCTCCGACTCCCATGCGCTCATGAGAGCATCGAGATGC